CCAAGTAGCTGGGACCACTAGCTGGGACCACAGACCTGTGCCACCATTCCTGGCTAATTTTTGTATTTTTTTTTGTAGAGACAGGGTTCTCCCTATGTTGCCCAGGTTGGTCTCAACTCCTGAGCTCAAGGGATCTGCCTGCCTCAGCCTCCCAAAGTGCTGGGATTACAGGTGTGAACCAGCACCCCTGGTCCTGCCAGGAGATTTTCTTTTCTTTTCTTTTTTCTTTTTTTTTTTTTTTTTGGCCAGGGTATTTTCTTAAATGCAATAGGCTGCTTCTTGTTGCAGGTCCTTTCCAAACACCATACTCAAAAGCTAGTCCTTCCTCTCTTCACTAAATAATACCTATTTGTCCTTTTATATTTTCATACAGATAATTTTCAGATTTACTTCTATAACTTCTACTATTAGATTATTTTGTCTTTTTCTTGAAAATGCCACTTTATGCAATACCACTGATTTGATAATGGAAAAAACAAAAAGATATATACATATAAAATATATAAATAAAAAAGAAAATACCACTTTAACTAACTGAAATAATTCACCTGCGAAGTGCGGTGGTATGTTCATTTTGCTCACCAGTGTCACCCCAGTGCCTAGCACAATATTCAAGTATTTGCTGAATAAGAAGTCCACCAGCCTGTGGGTACTCAGGCTTGAAAGAAAACACAGAGGTCAGAGCTAGAAGGAAAAAACAGAGTCAGCAGCACTGAGGTGATTTATGATAAAGTTTTCCAGTGAGAACACATAGAATGGGAAGAGGAGAGAGCTGAAGACAAACCCTGAAAAATCAGGACATTTAAGAAGCCGAGGGGGGACACAGTGGCTCACACCTGTAATCCCCGCACTTTGGGAGGCCGAGGCAGACAGATCACCTGAGGTCAGGAGTTCAAAACCAGCCTGGCCAACATGATGAAATCCAGTCTCTACTAAAAATACAAAAATTACCTGGGTGTGGTGGTACATGCCTGTAGTCCCAGCTACTCAGGAGGCTGAGGCAGAATTGCTTGAACCCAGGAGGTGGAGGTTGCAGTGAGCTGAGATCCAGCCACTGCACTCCACCTTGGTAACAGAGCAAGACCCCATCTCGAAAAAAATAAAAATAACAGTTTGATTCTAAC